CTGTGTCCTTGCCCAAACTCAAAAAAGCCTATGAAAAAAGTACCAGGGGCATCTCATGGGGCCCCCTACTGACCCCGGGCCCTCGGGCAGTGCAGTGCCCGAGTTTCCAAATGGTCAGTTCGCCCCTGGCTGGAAATAACTTCCAAGATCTGACCTAAAACATTTCAGAAATGGTCCAGTTCCTATATGTGGTGCATTGATGTGTTTTGATGTGGCAGGTCCTTCTCTTTTCATGGGTCCAGCTTGAAGCAGTGAAGAGGTAATGAGGGTTATTTACTAAAACTGGAGAATGCAAAATCCGATGCAGGTGTGAATAGAAACCAATCAGCCTCCAGGTTTTATTGCCAAAGTTAAATTGAACAAGCGGAAGTTAGAAGCGGATTGGCTACAATGCACAGCTGCACCAAATTCTGAGTGCACCAATTTTAGTAAAAGTCCCCCAAAAGGACAGATATGTTGTATTTATACTGGGCTTGAACACAAGTCCAACCACAATTAAACAATCAGGCTCGTATCTTGGGTAATGCAAACAAATCAAAAGCAAACCAATTCGTATTCAATTAAACTATAAGAAAGAATAGTTTGAACTGGAGTGCTTTCATTCTCACTCCCTATACTGTATATGGTGGCATGAATTAACCTTCGCCAGATCAGTGAATAGGAACATTGCTGAGACATGAACAAGGCAACATTTTGTAAAATCTGCTCTGAAATTTGGCTGAGTTTCTGATAAATTAGATGTAGGTAGCTGAATGAATCAGTACAGATTTAAGTGATGTAATTTATGTTATCAGTTGACTTATTTATTTATTTTTTGTTAGTGTTGGCTACAGTAGGTGTAAACAGGAATATTTTGAAGGTAGCCTGATATGAAAGTTGGAAATATTACTATTGTTTGCCTTTTGGCATACTATATGGTAACAATTGTAATCAGTTATGTCTAAATTGTTTGGTTTACTCATTTTAATTTCATTTTATTTTCATTTATTTTTAATTTCATTCTAAGTTATTTTATTTTCATTTATTTTTAATTTCATTCTAAGTTATTTTATTTTCATTTATTTTTAATTTCATTCTAAGTTATTTTATTTTCATTTATTTTTAATTTCATTCTAAATTATTTTATTTTCATTTATTTTTTTTTTTTACTTTAAATGTATTTGATAAGCCGTGTATGTGAGTCTTGCAAGATTAGGACACTTTTTTTCTGAAAGCGGTACAAAGAGTTCAAATTGGAAGCACTGGACAACAAGCAGAAGGAGAGGTGACTTATGACAATTATTTAATGTGTAAAATATTTACCAAAAAGCTGCTTACATTCTTAGAAAAAAATTAAATCTTCACTTTTTCAAGGAGACCTATTAATGCTGACGCCCCCCATGAATAAATAATCATTCAGCTAATGCAGGAAAAAATGCAACAATTTAACCACTTGACCTCTGGAAGGTTTTACCCTCTAATGACCATGAAATGTTTTGCTATTCGGTACTGCGCTACTTTAAAGAGATTATAAGTGTAAATTTTAAAAAACCCCATAAAAAAACATGTTATACTTACCTGCTCTGTGCAATAGAGCTGCCCCGATCCTCCTCTTCTCGAGTCCCTTGCCAGTGCTCCTGGCTCCTCCTCTCTTGTTGGTGCCCCCAAAAGGAAGCCAATTCCCATGGGGGCACTTGTGCAGGCTCACTCCCGATTCCCACTGCTGTGTCCATTGACACAGACAGTAGGACGCGACCCAGCCCCCACTCCCTCATCACTGGAGTTGGCTGACAGGAGCGGGAGCCAATGGACAAAGCCAGCAAAGCCACAGCTCTCTTGCATGGTGCTGGATCTCGATGTGGCTCAGGTAAATATAAGGGGGGGTTGGGGGCCAGTTTGTGACACAGAAGGTTTTTTTAACTTAATGCATAGAATGCATTAAGATAAAAAAAAAACCTTGAGGTAAAAAACCTAGAACATCTGTAACTGACAATTGTGTGGTCATGCAACACTGCACCCAAATTATTTCATTTTTTTGCTATATAAATGAAAAAATACAGAAAATTTTGAAAAAAAAAGTTTCTGTTATAACATTTTGCAAACAAATAATCTTTTTTCATAAATTTAGGCTAAAATGTAGTCTGCCACATTTTTTTTGGTACCAATATCCCAAGTCACTGTATATTATTTAGTCTGTGGTATAGAGTCTACAAACTATGGGATTTACAGTATATTTGAAAATTAGTCAATCCTGATGTACTGACAGCCTATCTCATTTCTTATGGCCCTGAAAAGCCAGGACAGTACAAATATTCCCCAAATTACCCCTTTTTGGAAAGTAGATAGTTCAAGTTATTTAGTAAGAGAGGCATGGTGAGTTTTTTGAAGCTGTAATTTTTGTGTCCCAATTTTTTTGAAAATGAAAAAATTAAATGAAGTTTTTTTTTTCCCCATTTTTTTTTTAACGTATTGTCAGCAGGCAGTGCAGCATCATCATATGACTGGTATGGTGGTGATCAGGAATACTGACTGGTGGCAGTATGCAAAAAAAACTCAAAATATTTTTTTTTTACATTTTTTAACCGCTTACTGACCTCCTCACATATGAGTACGGCGGCAAAGTGACTCTCCTGCACTGGAGTCTTCTGTTCTCTACAACCATTCAAAGTGCTGAATTTTAAGCCGTGTCTTTAAAAAAAAAAAAAGGGGGGGGGCAGAGAGCTGAGGTTACACCCTGTAGCTCAGCAAAGAATAGCTCTGAGGGCTGATTGGAGGGACACCTCCCCCTCCTCATGGATCACAAGAACAGAACTGAGCCTGTCAACTGTTGGAGGCCCCTCCCCTGTCACCATTTTTTCCTGGTGTCGGGGAAATTCGTCAGAAGGGATTCATGCTTAGAACAGAATGAAGCAGCAGACAGAAATGATACTTAGTGCACTTAACTGAGACACACTACAGAGGGATATGCTTTGTTCATATTTAATGTGTGAGGTTTACAACCACTTTAAGAGACCAGAAGGCACCACAGCTGTTGTTGGTAGGGAGATACCTGACAATATAAGCCCAGACTATGGTGTGAAATTTTAAGTATACTCAAATATTTATGGTTGAGAGAGCTCGGTAAAATGATGGGGATTCCTTGCTTCCTACAAAACAGCAGTTTACACAAGGTCACAAATGAGGGACAGTTGGGCATTATGCTTTTAGATCTACAAATGTAGTGCAAGGACCTACCTGATTTGATACACGTTGAATCAATTGTTTAGGGTTGCCCTCATATTACATTTATTTGTGTTGGTAACTCTAAATTAGATTGTGTAGAAATTGTACAATCAGGTTGTATAGTGTATGGCCAGTTTGAGAGGGAGAGAAAGAGAAGGAGACACTAGTGTAGATGACAGCAGTGCATAGTCTGACTATACGTGTATTTCTAGCTCTGCAGTCACCAACCACAGTATGTATGACAGCAGTTCCAATGGTTTTTGTTATTTCCTCAGCTTTATAATATTATGGATAGGTCTGAGTACTTAAATGGATGTCTGTTGAAAAGATAATGTCCCTGAATCCTGTGTATCCCCATGTGTAGGTAATACATCCACTGTACACACATATACATCACTGCCTGGCAGATAATTTGCTCCCTCCATGGATGGATACAGGCAGTTGTTGAGCGATTGTCCATTGGATGGCGCTCTCATATTCATTCTTCGCACACACAGAAGTAGATTAAAATAAAATGTTTTCTGTAAAACTTTTAAAGAACATTAAGGCAGTGTGCCAGTAACATCTCAGTGTTGTATTTACCCAATATTACATGATAGACTGGCAGTGCGGTGCTTCATCTGTAAGAACAGTCTGAATAACACTAGTTTGGTGTCACAGATTTTTTAGATAGATAGATAGATAGATAGATAGATAGATAACATATATGTAACATATGGATTTCAAAGTAGACATTAGAGGAGAAACATACAAGGAAAATAAAGAGAGAGAGAGAAATATTAGGTAGATAGATAGATAGATAGATAGATATAGATAGATAGATAGATAGAGGAATAGATTATAGATAGATAGATAGATAGATAGATAGATAGATAAGATAGATAGATAGATAGATAGATAATAGATAGCTAGCTAGCTAGATAGGTAGCGATATAGACAGACAGATAGATAGAAGATAGATACATAGATAAATAGACAGACAGACAGACAGACAGATAGATAAAAGATAGATAGGTAGATAGATAGATAGATAGATAGATAGATAGATAAATAGATAGATAGATAGATAGATAGATAGATAGATAGATAGATAATAGACAGATAGATAGATAGATAGATAGATAGATAGATAGATAGATACATAGATAGATAGATAGGTAATAGACAGATAGATAGAGAAATAGATAGATAGATAGATAGATAATAGACAGATAGATAGATAGATCGATAGATAATAGATAGATAGATCGATAGATAATAGATAGATAGATAATAGACAGATAGATAGAGAAATAGATAGATAGATAGATAGATAGATAGATAGATAGATAGATAATAGACAGATAGATAGATAGATCGATAGATAATAATAGATAGATCGATATAGATCGATAGATAATAGATAGATAATAGACAGATAGATAGAGAAATAGATAGATAGATAGATAATAGATAGATAGATCGATAGATAATAGATAGATAGATAGATAGATAGATAGATAATAGATAGATATAAAGAGGTAATAGACAACAAACGGAGAGAATACAAACAGACTAGAGAAAGAAGATTACTTTGAGGTTTTCAGAAGGAAGGGTTTGTGTGGGTAGATGAAGAGATGTGTCTAGTCGGAGGTCGCTGTATGTGAGGATATCTGTTTAGATGTATACATACATACATACATAGATAAGTAGATAATAGATAGAATGATAGATAGACCGATCGATCCGGTATATTCAGAGTGTAGATCGATCACCTCCTCAGCTGATTCGACTGTTTAGGAAGACGTCCGTGTTCTCCAATGAAGTCGGGTGATGATCTGGATGTCATGGATGTGACGGACGATGACAGGTCAGGTCGGAAAAGTCGGATCCTGGGGGGCGTGTCCAGTACAGCCCCGGCGGTAGGTACTTCTAGAGCCGGACAATGACAGACGGTGGTAGTGGGCGGGGGTCCATGGGAAAGGTGCCCGCCTCATCTTGGGGGATCCTGGGGGTGTATATCGGGGAGTATATTGGGGGCCCAGCCTGACTCTCTCTTGTGCTCATGGCCCCCAGAGATGATGGGGTGATGGATGGAGGGGAGGGTTGATCGGATAGATGAATCTGATGACCCCCTCCCCCCCTATGTCTGCCATGTATGGGGTGAGTGCGGACCCCCGGCACACAGGGACCACCACCATCCCCACCATCACCACCACCACCACCACCACCAAAACCATCATCAACCACCACCATCATCAATCATCCACAACCCCAACCACCACCACCATCACACCAACCACCACCACCATCAACATCATCAAAAACACCACCACCACAAACACATCATCATCAACACCAACACACACCACCACCCCACCAACCCACCACCCACCACCACCACCACCACCACCATCAATCATCCACCACCACCCACCCCACCATCAACACCACCACCACCACCACCACCACACCATCACCACCACCACCCACCACACCACCACCACCACCCACACCAAACACCACAAACACCATCACCACCACCACAACACCACCACCACCATCATCATCATCATCACCACCACCACCCCACCATCATCACCACCACCACCACCAAATCACCACCACCACACACCAAACAACCACCCACCACCACCAAACACACCCACCACCACACCACCACATCATATCATCACCACCACCAAAACCACCACCACATCACCCAAAATCACCACCACCACCCCACCCAAACATCATCAAAACACCCAACACCACCACCCCACAAACACCATCATCATCATCACCACCACCACCACCATCATCACCCCCACCCCCACCCCCACCAACATCAGCACCACCATCATCATCATCATCACCACCACCTTCCCTCCTCTACTACACACTATACTACATATATATATAGTATAGTGTGTATATAGATGCTCTACTCATCACACATGACACTCACATGTATACACCTGGCTACCTGGGGACAATATAGTGAGAACAGAACATGGCATGGTATTTATTAATATTTAACATAAGAAACACACACATATATGTTTATGTACATTATACTACATGTGTGTATATATATTTATTTATTACAGGTACTTATATAGCGCAGCCAATTTACACAGCGCTTTGCATATATATTGTGCATTCCCATCAGTCCCTAACCCTCAATGGGCGCACAGTCTAAGGTCCCTAACTCACATTCATACATACATACACATACTAGGGACAATTTTGGACAGGATCCAATTCACCTACCAGCATGTCTTTGGAATGTGGGAGGAAACCGGAGTACCCGGAGGAAACCCACGCAGGCACAAGGAGAACATGCAAACTCCAGGCAGGTGGTGCCGTGGTTGGGATTTGAACCAATGACCCTAGTACTGCCAGGCGGAAGTGCTAACCATTTAGCCACTGTGCTGCCCATAATATATATATATATATATATATATATATACTGTATATTTAGCATAAACATATGTGCGTTTTTCTTGTGTTATTTATTATGAATTTTTGTATGTAAATATATATATATATATATATATATATATATATATATATTCGAAACCTAAACAGCGTTCAGTTATACAATCAGGTTTGGGGACTTAAAAATATGAATATTCCCAAACCTGCCTGGATTTTTTGATGTTAACATTCATACTTTAGTAAACCAACCTCCTTATATACATGATTAAACAATTATATCACCATGTTAATACACACAAATAGCTGCTCTCTTACATACATCTCTATCTATAAAATAAAAAGCACAAGGGTGATGTGAAAGCACAGAAAAGTGTTATAATAATAATGATGATGATAAAAACAATAATTCTGATAAAAATAACAACAATAATAATAATGATGATATCTATCTATCTATCTATCTATCTATCTATCTATCTATTTAATCTAATCTATCTGTTTTAGGCTTTATTCTATACCCATAATCCACTGAACTCTTGTATAGACAGTGCCCCCCTTTTCTCCCCTCCAGTGTATAGGGGAATCACATGTGGCAGTGGCTGATGTGCCCCATCTATTTTCCCCCTGCCCCCCCCCCCCCCCCCCCCCCCCCCCCCCCCCCCCCCCCCCCCCCCCCGCATCTCTGCTGTTTTTATTGCTGCCACAATGATTTCCTCACCCCTGTCATTCCCTCTTATTAGACACTGATAACACAGTGTAAACTCTGCAGAACAAAGCCAGGCCATGGGTAAAACTAATACCAATCATGTCCCCCTCCCCCTTGGCCCTTTACATTTGTGTAAAAGAGAAAAGCTTAGAGATATAGAAACATACAGCCAGTAGGTGTCCATTGAGCAGGGATTTTTCCCATAGGCACAGCATGGGAGAGACCCTCCGGCTGAATAGCAGATAAAACTTGGAGAACACCTTTCAGAAAGTCCCCAGTGCTGCCTGTGTTCTCCATACAGCTTAGACCTCCAGAGCCTTCACTATTGTAGTCATTAGATCTGGGCTGCTGGCCTTCATCAGACCACATGTACTGAGCAGCTTCTACCAATATTGACATATTCCAAAGAGGACTTTCTAAAATCTGTTCACTGTACACACTGCGAGTTTGGATGACCTTTGTCATCCAAAAGTTCTGACAGGAGCAAGATCAGCTACAATGTATCGTAGTATATGATCCTCTACATGCTTCATAAATTAAGAGAAAATTCATCACTTCCAAATTATTTTCAGGATTTCACCCAATACGAAAACCACATTTTCTGCAATCTTATCTTCTGGGAAAGTGATTTTTTTTTTTTAGCATACTATTTTTTATTTTTTTTAGAATATTTGCAAACATATTTGAAACCTTTATAAACAAATAAATAGTTTATTTATTTATACGTTGTATAACATTTTAATTAGTTCTCTATACATATTAGGGTATCAGCTACTAAAGGTCCACATGCCCTTCAAAACTACATTTGCTTGAACCACCAAGGTTATTAAATCTTTTTTTCCTTATTTTTTTTGTTTTTAACCATCATCAGTGTGATTGGGTGTGTCAAGTGAACAAACTTTGCCTGTAGGAAATCAGCTGTTTAGTGTTTAACATTGTTAGACCTATGAATTGTTTTTCCCTGTAAGGTGTATAACATTTTTATTAGTTCTCTATACATGGTAGGGTATAAAAAGCCCCACAATATTATATATGCTTGAACTAGGTTCAGCTTTTTCTGTTATCTTGGGGTTTTTTTTTGTTTTATTTGGTAATCATCATTAATGTGATTGGGTGTTTCAACAGAACAAACTTTGCCTATAGGATATTCAGCTGCTTAGTATTATTTTCCTTCCAAAAAAACATTTACAAAATAGGCAAATAAAATAAATAAAAAGTAAACTGAAAGAAATAAACTATTTAAAAAATTGATAAAAAAAACACTCAAACATGGTATGAGTTTTGTGTTGTAGGCATACATGTTTTACATTTGTGAGTGAACAGACTTTTTTAATAGTATTTTTTAGTTGTTTTTCTGTCTGTCTTTCACAGAATGAACTGTTCAGAAAGAAGAAAGGAACAATAAAATGTAATTTTTCATCTGAGAGAAATGTTTGTTTAAAGAGGCTGGCCCCTGTTGATGACAGCAGGAAATTTACATCAAAACGTGGATGGTTTATGTGGATTTATTTATTTAACCAATGGACCTTTTGCTTAAAAGGTTTGTATTCGGTTTGAAGATCTTTCCCACAAGTGATGTGTTACTAAATATAATGCCATTTTCCTGAAATTAAAGAGATTATCTGTAGCTTGCGCCCCAGTGACTTATTAATGTGCTCAAGATGTATGGAAAACATTTATTTAGGCTAATTTTAGGCAGTTTGTGACATTGAAGAAGTAATTTCAAGCTAAGATTAGATACTGTGCTTTAAAAAACTATGCAAGAATAATCAGCATCAGCAGCAGATTTGCAGATCAATAGATGGATAGATAATAATAACAACAACAACAATAATAATAATTCTTAATAATAATAATAATAATAGTAATAATAAATATTATTATATTTATACTGTTAATTATTAATATTATTATTATTATTGAGGATTTATAGAATGCAAATTGTTTGAATGGCACATTACAAAATTAAATGGGACATTACAGTTACAATCTAATCTAATACAGGGGGATTTCACAGGGCTCTGTTCCTGACAGCTTGCAATCTATAGACAGATAGTTGGGTAGATATGAAAAAGTAATTAATGAAACAATAATATGAGGATCTCCATATTATCTCCCACAATTATTCTGTTCCCTACAGGCTCTATATTTAAGTTCTGGTTGTACACAGGGGAATATAGCAAGCTAATATAATACAGATTTGAGGTACTAATGCTACCTGAATTTTTAAATAAAGCTAATAACGTATTTTAATTAAACAAAAAAAAAAAAAAGGTTTTTTGACTAGTCAGGGTTTCATTTATTTAATAAAAGTGTTGATTTCACACCATGTGTTTAATATCCTTTGAAGGCAATGGGATATATTTAAAGCAATCTGGTGTAAAAATGACTAAATTGGTAAATCATTCTGTAAACATGGTTCTTTATTTTTCATTTTAAATGTGTCCATCAATTACAGATCGTTATGTAAATAAAATACTCAAGCTACTTGTGTGTATGCATCCAATGGGCCATCAAAGAAGAGGAAGTATTATTTGATGTACTGTATATAGCAGTATTTACGATTTCCTTGTACAGTGCTTTATGCAAAATAATTGTATGTGTCATGGATAGCATGGGGCTCAATTACAAAGTCATTTTTATCAGCCTCTGATAAATTATTGGTGTAATAGGGCTGTTTTCCTAACATATTAGAGGTCGTTTACTTAACAGATCTTCACATAGCATAGTAAGTAAAATGAAGAAATGTTCACTTTGAAAGTCCATGTGCAAGGGAAAAAAAAAAAGATTTTTGCTTGTATATTAGTTTAATAAACTGAACACAGCTAGTGAACTCTAAGCTGAGTGAACAATCACTTTCCAATGTGAAAATACACTTTGCAAATTGAACAATCTTAATTCCTTTAGGAAATCAATCTTTTAGTATCATTTACTGAAGTAGGAGAGGCTGTTGTAAAACTAAATGGTCGCTTAGGCCAGCCATAGAACCGGCCGAGATTCAAACCATGTATGGGCAGGCTGACTATACCAAGCTGATCGATTGATCAACTTGGGTACAACCAGCCTGCTGAATTTACTTGCAATTATCGATAGCAGCAGCTATAGCCAAAGAAATATTCCTAAATAAGGTAAACCCGAACTTACTTTGAATAACCAATTAAGTATGATTCAAATTTAAACATTTTCCAGCATGTGCCTGAATTGAATTAGGTGCTGTTTTACTTTATTTACCAAACTCTGTGACATTCACTTTGTCAAATGAACAATGTACTTCTTTAGTAAATCAACCCAACAGGGTAATGTGGAGACTGGGGATATAATGACGAAAAAGCAGTGATAAGATTTTTCAGAGATTATCACGGTGATAAGTACCTAGTGAGTTATTTAATAAAAGGTAATAAGTCAGGTAGGAACTAAAAAAAATAGGAATTTGTTCCTTCTCTTCACGCTGAATACTCAGTGATAAGTACAGAGAAAGTAATAAGAACAGACCTGTTTAATGAACGGTGAAAAACTGAGAAAAGAGCCAGGAAAAGATCATGTTAAATATTAATCAGGCATGACTGCAGGTTTGCTGATGCTGTAGAGCAGGGTTTCTAAACCAGAGTTCCATGAAAAGCTAAGGTTCCTCCAGAGGTTGCTGGGGGTTCCTTGAGCAATGAGCAATTTGTGCTTTTCAGATAAGCTCCCACTGACACCGTTGATCTTTTTAGCTATCTGTAAGAGAGTAATTCTTCCCAACGTCTGCAAATGTAAGGGGCATTCTTCCCATCGTACATCACAATAATGTATCATGAGTTGTAGATATAGTCCTTTTTAGCAGGGGTTCCCTGAGACTAGTAAGGTATTTCAAGGGGCTCCTCCGTGTTGAAAAGGTTGAGAAGAGTTGCTGTGTCTGTCCACAAGACACACAGAACGGGGCTCAGCCCTGACCCCTGCTCCCCAACACTGGCTTTGATTGAAGTCAATGGCTCCTGCTTCTGTATTTGAGCCAGTGAGGAGTGAGAGAGCCTTGGCTCTCATGCACATCTTGAAGAAAAAGGAAATATGGTGCTACTACCCATACAGACCTCCATCCATAGAGCTACTGGGTGCGTGATCTCCAGTCACACAGCTGAGAGCAATTGTCCAGAAGCACGATCTGCACAACCGACATAGCTCTAAAATCTTGTCTTTATTTAGAAAACCACAGCATAGAGGTTACAGTAACAGTCAGTTGACGTGTTTCAGCCTATTCGGCTTTAGTCATAACAGTTATTATTAAAACCATATAGGCTGAAATGTGTCAACTGACTGTCACTGTAACTTCTATGCTGTGGTTTTCTTAATAAAGACAAGATTTTAGAGCTACGTTGGTTGTGCAGATCATCCTTCTGGACAATTTCTCTGGTGCACATCGCTGGATCATGATCAGGCTCAGATATGTATTTAGGGGGTGCTGAGGGGAGTGCTGCATGTAGGAGGTTTTTTACCTCGCTGCATACCATGCAAATAAGGTAAAAAAAAAACTTCTGCCTTTTCAACCACTTTAAAACTAGTTTTACATCCCTAATGGTGCAGCCCATTCATTTCTGCAATAATATCCTGTTAGCTGTGACCAAATTCTTGGCTGTGATAACATTTTTTACTGAAAGAATAGTGGATGTTTGGAGCAGCCTTCCAGCAGAGGTAATGAATTAATCAACAGTGAGTGCTTGGGATAAATATAGATTTATTAGACACAAATGTAGACTATTTGATCTTTTTCTGTTGTCAGTCTCCAATTTTTCTAGAGGTTAGAGGTTAGGTTGAAGGGGATCTTTAGGTTAAGCATTGGCTGTAGCTGTTTTGTTCAGGTTTCTTTTCAGGGCGTAACTTAAGTGCAGATATTCTACGCATTTTAGATTGTCAAATACTTGCCTCCCCTGCCACAAGCCATGGTTCCTCTCTTTCAACTTCTGCATCCTGTAGCTTGTGGCAAAAAAAAGGTTTGCTTTAAGGTTAGGTTTAGAAGTTAACCCCTTGCCCCTGGCGCCTAGCAGAGCCATACAAAACAGTGTGCTTACAGTGAAGCACACACACAGCCAACATACTGAAACAGCACACAGTTAACCCTTTGATTGCCCCTCATGTTAACCCCTTCTTGCCCAGTGCCATTAGTACAGTGTCAGTGCTTTTTATTAGCACTGATCACTATATTGATGTCACTGGGGATGTCAGTGACACCACGTCAGTTCCCCCCCCCAGTGTCAGAATGCCCGCCGCAGTCTCGCTATAAGTCGCTGATCGCCGCCATTACTAGTAAAAGAAAATAAATCCCAGTATCTATACCGCCATTTGTAAATGCTATAACTTTAATGTAAACCAATTACTTTACACATATTGGGATTTTTTTCAGCAAAGACATGTAGCCGAATACATTTTGGCCTAAATTTATGACGAAATTTTATTTTTAAAATTTTTTTACTGGACATGTTTAATAGCAAAAAGTAAAAAATACAGTTTTTTTCTCAAAATTGTCGGTCTTTTTTTTTATATAGCTCAAAAAATAAAAAACACACAATCAAATACCACCGAAAGAAAGCTCCATTCCTGGGGAAAAAAGACGTAAATTACATTTGGGTGCAGTGTTGCATGACCGCTCAATCGTCAGTTAAAATAAGGCAGTGCTGTAACGCAAAAAAATGGCTTGGTCAGGAAGGGGGGTAAATCCTCAGGGGGGCAAGTGAAGAGGATAACTACAACATACAGATTCAGGTGTATGATGGGAATAACCCTTCCCACTGATAAATGCTATTGGGTCTTCCTCTGTACAGCCAATGTAGGGATATCATATGTATATACATTCTGTACCCGTACTGTCTAGTTATAGTACGTCACATTTTCAAATGTGATTATTTTGTTTTGGGATCCTATTATACAGTACTTTATATGTGAGATATTTTTACATCAAGTACCATAATACTTTTATTCCAGCTAAAAAATAATGTAGTTGTCAAAAGTATTATGGATACATATGGGTGCATGTCATGCACACAGCACATGCCAAATCTACTGTTTGTTATGCTGGAGATAGCACTGCTGCAATATTTGGGTGATAAAGAAGTATTTCTGGCCTTACAATCACTGAATTTATATTAGCTTCATACATATGATTATGTGCAGATAAAGCCTTTTTTATTTTCTTTCATCCTCGGCAGATGGTTGAGTGTTTTGTATAAAGCAGATTCACCTGATTAAGAAAAAAAAAGAAAAACACTTCAACAGTGAAAATTCATTTCTTCACTCCATGTATGCATTTTCTCAGTAACTATTTTAAAGTTTAAAGTGGTTGCAAACCCTGACCTGTACCCAGTGAGATGAAACAAATGCTCCTAAATAAGTTGTACCTGTTTATCTGTGGTATTCTTTCCCCTACATCCATTCAAAGTGCAGAATTTACACAGGATCTCTCAGCTCTGAAAAGCAGGGGGTGGAGAGCTGAAGTTACATCAGTGAGGAGAGCTCTGGGAGCTCATTGGAGGGAAGGGACACGCCCCCCCTCCACACAGTTCACAGGTA